TTGTTGACCCCCCGCGCCCTCTCCTTCTTTTCCTACAGTCATTCAAAATTTAGTAAGCTACTGGAACTGATCATTACTTTTCTTTCTATATGGTCAATTGAGAGTAATCACATCTCTTTTGTCCTTTGTTGTTAGCCAAATGTGGTTAACCTGTGAATCATTTGTTTAGATTGAGCCAAGTATAATAGTCTTTTTTTTTTCCTTTTCTTTGCAGGACTTTCTAAAGAATTGGTCATGGTAGTCCAAAATGTGGGGGACAATACTCTCGATGTGAATATTGCAGTTCCAAGCTCAGTCAGAGTTGATTCCAAGTTGCTAAATCTGGCTAAACACAGCGCTAAAAAAGTATGCTAAATTAGTCCCCTCTGTTTGTCTTTTTTATGTGTTTCATAATCTATTGAAATCATGTATTGAAGAAAGAATTCTCTTAAATACCATATTAAGTAACTTCCATTAGAGCCACAATATACTAGGAGGTAATATTGATGAGTTTAGAAGAATAAAGCTCAAAAAATAAGCAACATGATCATTGAGATTTGTAAATTAACGAAATATTAGGAACGGTTCTCATCTCCCTTCGCTTGATTTTTCTCTATAATATATATGTGATTTATAAGATCATTAACTTGACGAACCAATACAAATATTAAGAGATCTATTAATGTGAACGTTTTTTAGCGAATCTCTTACAACCATGTTTTATTGTCTGGCATATGCTTAAATAATGATTGGTTATATTTGTACTCGTTATGTCCTGCCCCCTTGAACTCTTCAGCACCCTTCTCCCAAATAATAATAATAATAATAATAACAAATAATAAGAATTAAAAAAGTGTTAGAGAAGGGAGCAAAACGAAAATGTTAAGAATAATTTAAAGGAAAAGCTTTTTATAGGTCTTAGAAGTATGGTTCATGCATTTGTTGTCATGTAATAGGCGTACACTTATCTGCAAAATCTCCCCCATATTTGTGGTTCAAGACACTTGATTAGCTTAATGTAGCAGAACATATGCTTGCTTCCAAACATAGTACTTCTTTTTTTTTTCCTGTGGGCTTTCTGAAAAAGAGCATACACACACAATATACTAATTATCTTTCCATTATATAGGTCAACATCTCAACAGGAGACACCAAAACTCTAAGAATAGTTTTGAATGCCGGAAAAGGGGACTGCATCATTGAAGTTGGCATCGAACCATCCTTATCTGATTGGATGCAACAGTTCCCAGTCTATGCCAAACAATTGAGTCCAATATACGGCGTCTATTTCGTATTCTTTGTCCTCCTTATTGCTGCGGGAGTTTGGGGTTGCTGCAGGTTGAGGAGAGAAAAGAGAGCTGGTGACGGTGTACCATATCAACAACTTGAAATGGGAGCACAGAGGCATTCAAATTCAGAAATTATTGAAGAGAGCACAATTGATGGTTGGGAGCAAGACTGGGATAATGACTGGGATGAAGAGGAGGCACCAGCGAGGACTTTGGCTACAAGCCCTAATGGAAATATTTCATCTAATGGCCTTTCATCAAGGTCTGCCAATAAAAAGAACGATTGGGACGTTGAATGGGATGATTAGCTATTTTCCGGCTAGAAAGTTTGAAAAGGTTCGAGCAAAATTTCATCCTGCAAAAAACCCTTCACGCCTCTTTCCTTTGACGAATGAAGCGATAAGTTTTGGGAAATAGGTTCATTTATTTTCCTTTCCCTTTTTTGGGTTTGGCTTGTAAAGAGAAACTTGTGGTTTGCTAAGCCAGCTGAGCTTTTATACTGGAGTTACTTTCGGCAAATGCTCACATACCGCAGGGTTGTAGACTACTGTTGTTGAGACAGTTCACCGATTACGTCCTTTACAAGAGGTTTCAAAGAAGCATGAGTACAGAAAATGTTGATATTTATCGATCACCGATATACACAACACTCCTGATCAAATAAGCGCAACACGGTGGTGGTAAGTTATGAAGTGAAATGTTACATTGTGATAGCACGAATTCTCTGCCGCGTTGTATTTTAATTTTGTAGTTGTATTACTTTACATGAGATCATTTTGTTAATAGGAGGTAGGATGCAATACGGATTGTTCCTTTTTCTTTTCCTTTTTCATGCTAAAATATTGCTATCTTTTCCGACTTTGTTCTCGCAGCATTTCTTGTGTGATTATGTGCAAAATGTTGCCATTAGGGTCAAACTGGCAGCAGCATAAAATATCGGTGTTTCGCTCGTCTGTTTCATAGATACAAAAAACTGGAGATTCAGACTGCTATGGACTTCGACGATGAATCTTAGAACTGCTTTCTGTTGGGCATCTGATGTTTTCCTGTTAGTAAAATGAGGTTGTTTATGTGCGGTCTTTCAAAGGTAACGCTAAACAAAATATGCAACGTCAAAGGACGGCGCGAATTGTTATTTGTTTCTCCAGAGCGTTGCTGAAATGGGTTTTATGGTGAGGATGAGCAATGTGAAATGATAAATTTAGGCGTGATATTGACCCACTACTTGAAAATTAAAATTCTAATAAATTGTTCAATCAGGGAAACAATCTGTTAAATAGGCTGGAGTGGCTAAAAATTTCAAGCTTTATAACTAGCTGAAAGAACAGTAAATATTAAATTGCCAATGTAAAAGATGCAACGAGGGCAGGACAAGTGACTGTTAGAAGCTTGTGGTATGCGACTCAAATTGTAGCTTCTTGATGTGGTTTTTATAAAGCCATTACAAACAGAAATGAGAGAAATACGTAACAATGATTTACACAAATATATCATGGCTATTCTAAAACTAAATTACTTCGTCTTTAACAAGCATGCTCCTAGGGACAATAGGATTCTTCACTGCCTTGCAATTTTGTAGCCCGAACCTCTCCAATGCCTCATTGGCATATTTCTTCTGACATATGAAAATTCCCTCCAAACGTTGTGTAACTTCTACACCAAGAAAATACCTCGTACATCCGAGATCAGACATATCAAACTCCTCCTTCATTGAACACTTGAATTCTTGTAACAATTGTTCATTGTTTCCTGTAAATATAAGATCATCAACATATAAACTCACAATTAAAATACCTCCATCATCATTCTTCTTCGTGAACAAAGTGTGATCACTCACACTCCTCTCAAAACCCTTCTTGACAAAGTAAGCTTCAATCTTGCTAAACCACGCACGCGGAGCTTGCTTAAGTCCATAGAGTGCTTTCCTCAACCTATAAACTTTATGCTCTTCTCCTTCTACCTCATACCCCTTCGGCTGCTCCACAAATATTTCTTCATAAATTTCTCCATGCAAGAAGGCACTTCTAACGTCTAGTTGATACACTTTCCAACTTCGACTAACTGCAAGTGCAATAGTTAAACAAATTGTATCCTAACGAGCTACAGGAGCAAATACCTCAGTGTAGTCAATTACGGTCTGTTGTATGTATCCCTTTGCTACGAGCCTGGCTTTGCATTTGTCAACTTCCCCTATTTCGTTCAATTTAGTCTAGCTAGAACACCCACTTAACACCGATCTTCTTTGCTCCCTTCGGCAGCTCTGTTAATTCCCAAGTCTCATTCCTTTCGATGGCTTCCATTTCTTGGTTCATTGCTTCCACCCAAATCGAACTCCTAGCTGCTTCCGCAAAGGTTGTTGGATCATTGGATGCAAGCATAGCAAGTTGATGCATTTCCATGGTGAGCTACTACATTCTATCTTCTTCTTCAAATAATTCTTCTCCAGTTACATAGTCTCTCATCCATACAGGTTCTCTTCTTCTTCTCCTCCCTTGAACTGGAATGCCTCTTGCACTAGGTTCTTCTTCTTCATCTACCACATTTTCTCCATTTGCTCTAGCTTCTTCTTCTGCATCCGCCCCATCAATTGTCTCAACTTCAGTACCTGCTTCCATCTCTTGCTCGTCATCTCCCCACTCAAGAACATCACACCGAGTGCCTTGCTTTGCTTTTCTCCAGTCCCATTTTTCCTTCTCTTCAAACACAACATCTCGGCTAATAATTATATTCTTTGTCTCTGGATCATACATTCTGAAAGCCTTCGATTCCTCACTGACCCCTAGGAATACACACTTGAAACTCTTCCCGTCCAACTTTTTTCTCTTGACATTAGGAATGTGCACATGTCATATGCATCCAAATACCTTGAAGTACTCCACCGATGGTTGAACTCCATTCCATGCCTCCGCTAGTGTCTTGTCTTGAACTGTAGAAGTGGGACATCGGTTGAGAATATGGGTAGCCCAATTGACTGCTTCTGGCCAATAATCTTTGGGAACTTCTCATGCAGTAAGCATGCATCTCACCATGTTCATTAGGGTTCGGTTTCTTCTCTTCGCGACTCCATTTTGTTGTGGAGAGAAAGCCGCAGTGAGTTGACGACCAATTCCATTTGAACTACAAAAGCTATTAAACTCGGAGGAAGTAAATTCTCCACCACGGTCAGTACGCAAACAACTTATATATCTCCCTGACTCCTTCTCTACCAAACTCTTGAATCTTTTAAAGGCATCTAGAGCTTCTGATTTAGCATGTAAAAAATAGGTCTACATCTTACGACTATGATCATCAATGAACGTAATGATGTATATTTTGTGGCTGTTGGATTTATGAGTAATTGGTCCGCAAATGTCTGAATGCACTAACTGTAGGGGTCTTGAAGCTCTCCATGCACTCTTCTTTGGAAAAGGATCACTGTGTTGCTTGCCTACTAAGTGATCTGTACATAGTGTAGAACTACTCTTAAGAATTGGCAGACCCTTAACCATCTTCCTATATGCCAAAGTTCATAGCCCTTTCATGTTAAGATGACCAAACCTTGTGTGCCATAAGTCTATGGGCTCATCTAAGGATGCTTACAAAGGCTAGCAATACAAACATACGATTTGCATACATCACTGTTTGCATAATTAGACCTCTCACATTGTGATAAATCCGACAACAACCATGCTAAATCAATATAGCCAAATTTCTCTCGTGAAGCTGTCCAATGCTAAGAAAATTATTTTTGAGATCGGGAATGTAAAATACCTCAGTGATGACTTGAGTTCTACCTTTGACCTTCATTCTGACATTCCCTTTTCCCATGACAGCCAACTTCGAGTCATTTCCCAACTTCACAGTCTGTCTAAAAGATTGATCGAGCTCAACAAACCATTTCTTGTCTCCACTCATATGGTTGTTGCAGCCTGAGTCTAAAAACCACACTTCATCTCATACAACTTCTTGAGTCTCCGCATATGACATAAGCAGCATCTCCTGACTCTCATCAAACTCTGTGTGTTCAGCATAATGAGCATAATTGGGACACTCATATTGAAAATTTCCCAATTTGTGTCACCGATAACACTCAACAATGACCTTGTTGAATGCTATTCCTCTACCCCTTCCTCTTCCCCTAAAACCACCACGACCTCTGCCTCTGCCACCAAACTTCTCTTCTTCTTTTGCTCCAGATCCTTCTCCTCCTGTGACCTTCAATGCTTGTTCCTCCACACTGTTCTTCTTTAGCTTTTGCTCATGAACCAATAAAGAACTCTGCAGCTCATATACAGAGAGACTGTTGATATCTTTGGACTCCTCGGTAGAGCACACAATATAGTTATACTTCTCTGAGAGTGTGCGTAGAACTTTTTCAACAATTTTTGCATCCTCCATTCCTTCCCCTGCATTCCTCATATCATTGGCAACCATCATGACTCTAGAAAAGTAGTCATTTACACACTCACCAAACTTCATCTCTAGAATCTCAAATTCCCTTCTCAGCTTCTAAAGTTGAGCTCGTTGGACTCTGATATTTCCTTGATACTTTCTTTTCATAGAATCCCAGAGTTGTTTGGAGGTGGATTTCTGTGTGATAGTCTTCAGGATGTTCTTGTCAATGGACTGGAACAGATAATTCTTTGCCTTCGGGTAATCCCAGTAATCACCATTACGACAACTAGATCTCCTAGATATTTTGTGAGGATAGTGCTATAATTTGCATATCCTAGGTGAGATACATGTGCATTGCACGGGGTTATATATCATGATTGTTTGGTTTATTTCTTTAATATAACTTAGTCGTGAAAGTGTTTCTTTTAAATTTCTACCTGATGATGTATTATCTGTGAACTTTCTTAATACTTAAATTTAAGTAGCTTCAACTTTTATTTTATGTGTCGTTGTGACTGTAAGCATATAGCAACCAGTTTCCTTCGTGCCTCAAATATAATAATAACATACGGCATAAAATTCTTATGAAGTAAAAAAAAAAAAAATCTCCTATATTAACCCCTAATGACTATAGAATGAGAAAACCAATTAACATTTAAGAAAAACTTCTCCATAAGTTTGCAAAGATAACCACATTCAACTATTAGGTTGTCAATTCTTATTATTTTGAAATAAGTCATTAAATCATTGAAATAGCTATTACATCCCCAATTCATGTTATTTTGACATTAGCTCCTCCAATCAATAGTAAAAAAAGCAATAAGAGGGAAATTAGTCCCTTGAATTACTAATTATATCATTGATTTGAATGACTAATTTTAAAATAACTTAAAATTTATGTTATCTAATGATAATTTCAATGCTTTGACGGACTCATCTCAAAATATAAAAGGTTTAAGGGACCACTACAAAAATTATTTTAATCAATTCAATTGTTGTTAATAATTAATTAATACCATAATTTGGTATCAATAAATTGGTTAATATTTACACGTGTAATGCATCTTATGTTTACAATGCTAATGTCCTCTAAGCTTCTTTCTACTCTTTAGTTGTGAACCAATTCTAATTAGATCAATTTTTTTATTAATTAGTTTTGAATGGAGAGAGCTTTAATTCGGGAGTTTACTTTTAACTTAATAGCTTTAGTTGATAACCACTTATAATTAGGATTAAAATATTTGTGAACGCGTGGGACAGCCTGGCAAATTGCAGGCGCGTGAATGGGTAAGGGCCTGGCATCTCAAATCACGTGAACGGGTAAACATCTAAGGTCCAGCGGGTAAACATCTAAGGCCCAATGTTTTCTCCTATAAATATCTATTGGTTCCTAGGGTTTCATGTGTGGGGAAGTTTACTCGGCTACAGGAATTAAAAACGCCTGGGAACAGCAACTTGGGAAAAGCTGCGGGAAGAAAAGAAAACAGAGAGAACCGCTGGGTATTTTTTTGAGCGGCTCGGTACTTGAGAGGAGAGAGAAAATAAGGTTTTACAAAAGAGATGTTTATTTCTTTTGGGTAAAAATCAGATCTTTTTTTTCTTTGAGACGAGCTTGTGGATTGTACAAGTCGTCGGTGTTCTTCTCATAGTGGAATCTCCCCTCACCCCTCCCGTGGACGTAGGCAAGTTTGCCGAACCACGTAAATCTCGTGTATTTATTGTTTTCTGGTTGTTGGCTATTGCTTGTAGGTTCCCTCAATATTCGGTCTTAGAGCTGATGAGAGGAAGAGTGTATATTTCATTTTGATGAAATATATCACTTTCAATTCTTGTTTCCTTTGAGAAATAAGAATTTCATTATCTATTCGCGTTTCCTTTGAGAAACAAGAATATAGAGGTTGACTTGTGCTTTTGTGACAACAAAAGCCAGGGCTTTCTCTCAGGTGATATCGCTTCCATGGCGGTGGGCGTGACTCTGCGCCCAACAATTGGTATCAGAGCTGTTATTCAGATTGGGAGTGGTGTAGCTTCTGATTTGAGGTGGTGCTCGGTAATTTTTCTGAGAGAAGCGGATTATTAGTACAAGCGGAGAATGACGTCAACAAGTAAAACAGTTAAAGTGGGAAAATACGAGATTGAAAAATTCAATGGGAAGAATGATTTTTCCTATTGGAGGATGCAGATGAAGAACACGTTGATTTCGCAGAAATTGCACAAAGCTTTGGCGGGAAAAGAGAAGAAGCACAAGGATATGTCTGATGAGGATTGGGAGGAGCTGGATCTGGAAGCACGGGCGTCGATTATCCTTTGCCTTGAAAGGGATGTAGCTTTCTTGGTAGATGGAGAGGAAACGGCTGCGGGCGTGTGGTCGAAGTTAGAAACCACCTTCATGACGAAGAGTTTAACGAACCGGATCTATTTGAAATCTAAATTGTATACTTGCAAGATGGAGGAGGGCTCATCAATTCGGGAATACATCAACAAGTTTGATAGGATTATATCGGACCTGAAGGACATCGATGTGACTGTAGAAGACGAGGATCAGGCTCTTCTACTACTTCTATCTCTGCCGAAGTCTTATGAGAACCTGGTGCAAACACTAATGCTTGTGGGAGACAATTTGACGATGGATGAGACTAGAACGGCACTTCTAGCGGATGACCTTCGGAAGATTGCAACCAGTGACATGACTATTGATGGTAACAAAGAACAAGCGCAGGGATTGTTTGCTAGAGGAAGGAGCAATGAGCGAGGAAAAGGCAAGGGAGGAAAGTCTAGATCTAAATCGAGACCCCTTGCGGGACGAGCGTGCTTCAAATGCGGTGAAGTTGGGCATTTCAAGGTCGACTGTCCTAACAAGAGAGTAGGTGGGAAAAAGAACAACAACAAGACTGAAAGACGAGAAGGCAAGGAAGAGGCGAGCTACGCTTCAGAGGATGGGAGCGATAAGGAATGTTATGTCGTCACGGGTGGCGAGGATACCTCCGGGAAGTGGATTCTTGATTCTGGTTGCTCTTACCATATGTGTCCAAATAGGAAGTGGTTTACTACCTACAGGAGCATTGATGGTGGAACCGTATTGATGGGGAACAACCATGCTTGTAAAACGGTGGGGCTAGGTGATATCAAAATCAAGATGCATGATGGAGTGGTTCGAACTCTAACGGACGTGCGGCATGTTCCCGCCTTGCGGAAGAATCTTATCTCAGTGGGTGCATTGGACTCCGGTGGCTGCAAGATTGTTACAGAGAACGGAGTGAAGAAGTTTGCTCGAGGTTCCCTAACAGTGATGAAGGGTGTACGTCACGGTAATCTATATACTCTCTCGGGTACGACGGTGACAGGAGATGCAGCGGTTGGAACTGAAGGAAGTGGTGGAGACCCATGTGAGCACACACGGTTATGGCATAGGCGGCTTGGGCACATGTCAGAGAAGGGGCTAGTTCTGCTTGCTTGGTAAGGAGGGTTTGCTGAAGAATCTGAAGAAACCTTGCATGGATTTTTGTGAGGATTGTGTGTACGGAAAGGCGCACAGGGTCCAATTCTTGAAAAGCAATCACAAGAGCAGAGGTATACTAGATTATGTGCACACGGATGTTTGGGGTCCGGCTCAGACAACTTCCAAGGGTGGTTCCAGGTATTTTGTCTCGTTCATAGACGATCATTCGAGATATGCTTGGATTTATTTTCTTAAGCATAAGAATGAGGTATTCGAGACATTCAAGAAGTGGAAAGCAATGGTTGAGAACAGGACGGGCAAGAAATTGAAGACACTAAGATCTGACAACGGTACAGAGTATACAGATGGTGCTTTCAAGAAGTTCTGTGATCAGGAGGGCATTGTTCGACACTGGACAGTCAGGTCAACACCATAGCAGAACGGGGTCGCGGAGAGACTGAACCGAACATTGCGGGAAAAGGGAATGAGTATGCGATCTTATGCTGGATTGGGCAACGAATGGTGGGTAGAAGCAGTGGCTACAGCATGTTACATTGTGAACCGTTCTCCACATTGGACATTAGATGGTGATACACCCTATAGGGTGTGGTCAGGGGAACATGCAAATTATGAGAGGCTCAGAATTTTTGGATGTACCGCCTATTATCACGTCAACGAGGGAAAGCTTGATGCGAGGGCCAAGAATGCGATATTCTTGGGGTATGCAAAGGGCGTAAAAGGCTACAGTCTTTGGTGTACAGAAGATTCGAAGTTCGTGATCAGCAGGGACGTTACCTTTGATGAAAAATCCATGATTGCTAGGGCGCCCAAGGATGATGGTGTTGGGACTGTTGGGACTTCAAAGTCCCAGGTTATTGAGATAGAACCTAAAGACCAACCAGGTTCTAGTCATGTTCAAGTGGAAAATCAGGTAGATGATGAGCTTGAGCAAGAGGAGGGTCAACAGGAGAATACACAGGCACTACAACAACAGCAGCTCGAGGATCCTTTGGCTTCCACTAGGCCAAAGCGATCATACAAGCAGGTACAGAAGATGGGGACTGATCAACCCCTGATGCACTATGGGCAGGTTAATTTGGTTGAATATGCACTCTCGGTGGAGGAAGATGAGCCGGTCTCCTTCAAGGAAGCTATTCGGGACAAAGATAGTGAGAGTTGGTTGGCTGCGATGGAGGAGGAGATGGAATCTCTTCGGAAGAACCAAACATGGGAGGTGGTCCCATTGCCCGTAGGAAAGAAAGCTATAGGACAAGGTACAAGGCGAGGCTAGTGGCTAAAGGGTTTGCACAAAGAGAGGGTGTGGATTACAATGAGATATTTTCTCCGGTGGTGAAACACACTTCTATTCGGGTGCTATTGAGTATTGTTGATCATGGTGATCTTGAGCTGGAACAACTCGATATTGAAACGACCTTCTTGTATGAAGACTTGGATGAAGAGATCTACATGCATCAACCTGAGGGCTACAAGGTTGAGGATAAGGAGCATCATGTATGTCGCTTGAGGAAGTCACTCTATGGACTAAAGCAATCTCCTCGGCAGTGGTACAAGCGATTTGACTCCTTCATGCTAAAGCATGGGTTTTCCCGAAGCGATTACGATTGTTGTGTTTGCATTCGGAAGC